GTTTGAACACGCCACCTCCAGTATATGGGGCTGACGCCCTACTCCTTGAGCCACAGGTGCCACCCGCTATTTTTTTTTTTTTTAAGACAGAGTCTCACTCAGTCGTCCTGGAGTTGAGTGCTGTACTGTCATAGCTCATGGCAACCACCAACTCTTAGGCTCAAGTGATCCTCTTGTATCAGTCTCCCACGTAGCTAGGACTACATGTGCTTGCCACAACATCTGGCTAGTTTTTCTACTTTTAGTAGAAATGGAGTCTCACTTTACTCAGGCTGGTCCCTAACTCCTAAGCTCAGGCAATCCATACACCTTGGCATCCCAGAGTGCTAGGATTACAGGCTTGAGGCACCACACCCCAACTGTTTGCAATATTTTTTGATTCATGGCCCTTCATCTGATGATGGAACCTAGGCCCTAGGAACTCTTTGGCTAAGAGTCTGCCACATTCTACTCCCCTGGTCTGTGAACTAACCCTGTGGTTCAGAAGTTAGAAAGGGTCTGAGACGGTAACTAATCCACCTGAGCTGACCTTCTCTAATTTGGTAAGTGAAGGTTCAAATTCTCAGACCTCTGCAGAGTAGTAACTAACAAGTCAACAAGCTGCCACAGGCCACATACTGCAGCAAGTCCCCTGTATCCCTGCCCCTTAGTTATTCCTGATGTTTAGCCTAACAGCTCTCATACTTTGATGTACATTGAGATCTCCCAGGAGCTTGTAAGAATGCAGCTTTCAGGGCTCCATCATCAGAGATTCTGATTTTATAGCTGGAGTCCAGAAACCTGCATTTTTTTATACAACCCTGGGGACTCTGACAATGGTGGTCTATAGATCCAAGTTTAAGAAACCAGCCTTTGCCCTCTGGACACTCAATTTAAATTCTTCAATAGGGATGAAGACGACCGAATTAAAAAAAAAAAAAAAGGTATGAGTACTCCTAGTGTCTCTCTTCTCTGGGCTAAGTTCCCAGAATATACTTTGCCTAAGGAGCAAACACATGGCCATTCCCAAATCTGACCAGCAGGCCCCTGAGAGGGAGGACATTGGCCTATAACCAGCTCTTGGTACTCAGGAACCAGAAAGACCCACCTGGTGTGATGCGAGCTGCCTGGGGTCATCAGGGCCTCGAAGGGACTTGCATCTTTGGGTCCCAGAAAAGAAATTTCAGGAAAGGATTTAAACTGATGATGGAAAGGACGAAACTTCCTGAAACACAGAAAACTTCCACTTTGACTACAATGGACAGGAAAGGTTGAGGAGGGTTACCAATCCTGATAAAGTGAACTCGCACCAACACATCTTTTACATTCTCAAACAAAATTCTTATCAGCCTTTCTAGATTAAATTAATACTTATGCTCTTTCTGTCTACTTATCAAATGAATTTACACTTGCTGCCTCATTGGAATCCTACAAGCACCCTCTGGGCCAAGTGGAGTAAGTGATGTTATCCAATTTTGTAGGTGAGGAAAGGAAGTCCAGTGGTTTCTGTGACTTGCTCAAGGGCTCATGACTAGTAAGTGGCCGAGACCAGACTAGACCCCTGATGTGGTTTTTCCCACTTTCTCATTTTGTTTCTTAAACCTACAACAACCTTTGAGGACTCTAGCCTGAAAGACTCTAAATAGAAGAATGTTTAAACCAGAACAGTGATCTTCCTGGCCCATGAAAGGAAGCATTTTTGCTCTATGCTGGTCCTTGTTGCTATTCTGAATGGAGGGGAGAGGCATAGTGAAGGTTCTGGATAGTCAGACCTATACCAAGTCGTTTTGGCAGTTTGCCTCACGTTGCAAATATTCGAGAGACTTTCAGAGCCAGAACTGTCAGTGTATACTCAGCCACATACACCTAAGCTGGCAGGTTCAAATCCAGCCTGGGCCCGCCAAACAACGATGGCTGCAACCCCCCCAAAAAAAATAGCCTGGTGTTGTGGCAGGTGCCTGTGGTCCCAGCTACTTGGGAGGCTGAGGCAGGAGACTCGCTTGAGCCCAGGAGTTGGAGGTTGCTGTGAGCTGT